AAATGATGTTTATCACTTGTACAACTGTCTCCAAAAAGGGCTTCCCAAATAGTTGTGTGCTGCCCAAAATGCATACATATACACCTATATATATATCTCTCATCTCCTTTTAAAGTTATACATAATTCTAATTAGAATATTACGAAAATACCCTAATACAATACCTTAAATTACGATCACAATTTATGTTAAGCAAGTTAGCAATTATCACAACATTTCAAGTTCCCAAAATGAGACTAAAACATATTCTAGTAATTAAGCAACGGTAAATCGACATGTGACTCTTGGTTAGTATTTAGAGGTGTTACAAATAGCTCTATAATGCTGCAATCTATCACCATCTTCAAAACTCACAAACCTTTTCTTTGTCACCATATCTTTCATAAACTTCGCATACTCAGGCATTTGCTCTAAAGCTTCTATCAACGAAACGTTGATGGAAAGCTGCTTCAACATAGTCATAAACCTATGATATTTACCATCTTCAGTCTTCTTCACTAACCTCTGTGGAAAAGGTGGTGGAGGTCTAGGTATGGGGACCACTTTCTGAGATATCTCCGCTTCTTTCTTTGTCGCACTCTCAGACTCTTCTCTAACCCCTACCACATCATTTTCTTTTCTAATCTCAACGTCCACCACAGACGGCATAGGTGGACCAATGATTTTCTTACCCCCTCGAGTAGTAACTGCCATACAATGACCATCATTCTTTGGATTTTGGATGGTGTTGGTAGGAAGAGTGTCAGGTTGACGTGGGTTCACTATAGTAGACAACTGAGTCATCTGCTGCTCTAGATGTTTTATTGACACTACATGGGGATCAACCTTTTGACCAATACCAAACAAGTCGTTTCTTATCTCCTTTACATTCTCATCAGTTACATCAAACCTTCTCATCATCTTCTGCATCATATCTTCAATACGCGCCATATTGCCTCCAGCTTCCCTAGTACCAGATTCCCGATTTTGAGGGGGTACATAAGGTCCAACCTGATTGTTTCTGTTGCCATAGTTGTTCCGGTTGTAGTTGTTGCTGCGATTGAAGTTCCCATCCCGGACATATTGACCCTCTCGGTTGTAATTGCCATAGTTCCGACCTTGATTTCCTTGACCTTGGCGCCAATTTTCCATGTTGGATCCTTGGGCGTTGGTCAGAAACCCCCCGTCTGATCATTCACCGCATAAGCATCCTCTTTCATAGTAACACTCTTCAACTGGTGGTGGAATTCTAGTCAAGTAGTTCACAACATTTACCTTTTCAACACCTCCGCTTACATGCTTAAATACCAACCCCAACTCGGTCCTCATCTGAGCCATCTCCTTACGAATCTCATCCGCATACTGGTTAATAAAAAGACATTAAAACTATAGAGAGTAAAATTCGTCTTTGGTTGCTATCAAGATAAGAGAAATAACTAGGGTATACGTGTTCCCCACAATCTCATAACGCGGTAATCCTAGTAATAACAATCATTTTCTAGTGTATTACATGCAAAGTGATAAGTTAGGTATCCCTAAATCCTTGGTCCGGCATCTAGAGAATTTCACCCTGCACCTTGGTCCGGCTACGTGTGTATAATTTACTAACCCTTACATTTACCTCATATTAGACATCACATCGATGTTTGGCTTAGTTTTTAATTTGCACCAATCGACACTAGACTATTGGATAGTATCACACTAAATCTATGTTGATAATTCTTTTCTTGTTGATTACCTCCTTGGTCCGACAAGTAGCAACAAGGTGAGTTCTAACGTTGCGCACCGTGAAAAAGACTTTTAAACAAAAGAATTATCAATGCGTGCAAAACACTATTCAAGAATTGTATATTTACTATTCATACTTTGTTAATCGCCCAGGGTTTCCACAACCCTAGTTGTGGAGTTTAGTTACCCATAATCATATGAACACAATTCATTGTTTTAGATGAAAGAATTATGAACTTATGTAATTGAGAATAACAAACCCGAAATTTCAACTTGAATCTCAAAACCAAAACCTTCAAAATCAACTTAGGAAATCAAGAATTGCTAGGTTTGCAAAAAAAAAACCCCAAGTCACAAAGTAGAACTAAAGTAATAAAGTCTAACCCTAAAAAATGAGGTTTACATGCCCTATTTATAGAAAACAAGTCCTAAATTAAAAGGGAAACAAAATAAGGAAAATTTGTTCAGGCACGCGTCTTCATTCCATGAGACTACGGTCTGTGAGTCCCTTCCGTCAGCCAGGACTTAGAAAATATTTCAACTTCCAAAAATCAGCTTCTCTGAAGCAAATGACGGAACACCAGTACAGACCGTAGATCAATCTACGGACATCTATGGTCCGTCGATTCCTCTCCGTAGCTCCATACTTAGATTTCTCCAAAAATCAGGTACTGGAACCTTCGCAGTCACATTCTACGGTTCAGCAGTACAGTCCGTAGATCAATCTACGGACCGTCAATGGCCACCGTGGTTCTACACTTGGTCAGATTTCCCTAATTTGCCTTACCTGCTGATCTACGATTACCATCTACGGAGCGTTAATGGACCTACGGTCCGTAGATCACCTCCGTAGATGCCCTTTTCTACATTTCTTTCAGCTGTCTCTTTACTTCCGCGCCTCAACATCTTTCCTGCAAAACATGATAAAAACACATAAAAACCAACACAAAAAGACCCTAGACACACACAACTCTTAAGTGAAATGTATTAAAAATACCGTAAACTCACGGTATATCAACAAACAACATAATAGAATGTACAATGTAGTCATTTAGAAAGTCTTGTTTATGGGGAGAGTTTACTCTCTATAGTTTTAATGTCTTTTTATTAATTTTTAAATATGTAGGCCAATTGGCCAAATCATATAATAATATTTTGTTTTTTAGTATAAGTTTTTTTCATCTGATTTAACGTCTTGATTTGCAATTGTAAGCTTCCACATGATGTCCTAATCACTTTCGAACCCAACAAGATATAGATAAATAGATAGATGTTATCATGTGTTTTTCACATATTGCTTCTTAACCTTTCACATTCTTTATTCAACAAATTTAAATGTTTCGATTATTAAAACTATTGCTACTTGTAACCTTTCTTGATTCTCCTAATTACTTGTAATTGTTTTTATTTCCTATATTTTTTCCAAGCTGGTGCCCTCTCGAATAATAAACATGTGACTTGGTTTGTTCATAATTCTTTACTTGTTCTATTTTTTTTTCAAAAATAATGTAATTCAAAATATTTTCAGATTTTTAAATATGATTAAAAAAGTTTTTAAGAATTTAATGAGATCTTTTATGATTTACTAGCTCTAAAATAATCAAGGAACACACATTTGAGAATACGATGGACTGATGCCTTTATATGATAAATTTATTATGACATATTTAGGGGTGTTTATGGACAATGACATGGAAGAACAATGAAAACTATCTGCTAAAGAATGAATATTAGACTATCAAATTGAGTATCTTATACTTTGCATGTACATGTACCAAACAATAAAGAAAGTGATAACTGACAAATCTATGAAAAATCATTCAATATTGAGAAGCCAATTATAACAAAGTAAAAGATAAAAATCACTAAAGAGCAAGAATTTTACAATCTTTCAAGTTCTTAATATATGTGACAATACCAAATTTCTAATATTCTAATATAATAATTTATTTATAATCTTAATGAGGTCATTTAGTACGACACTTCAGGTGTGTTTGGTATGACGGAAAACATTTTCCAATTTTTCCATGTTTAGAAAATGTTTTCTAAATCAACTCATTTTCCTCAAATTTAAGGAAAATGACTTCCCTTCCAAAATTAAGGAAAACATTTTCCTAAACTCTACTTCATCCTTTAATTTTTTTTCTTACCCTACCCATGCCCCGTACCAAACCCTCCCTATTAAAAAAATTAATATTTTTAAATCTTCTTATTTTTAAAATTTCAAATATATTTTTATCCCTACCCCCAAACCAGCCCCCCACCCACCCTCAAACAAAAAAAATAAAAAAAATTAAAATTATTTTTGAAAATGTTTCAACTTTAAAGATTTGTTTTACCTTATCCAACCCCTACCATCATACCCCACTCGCCACCCCCAACAAGGCACCCCACCCAAACCACCCCCGTCATTTTTTTAATAATTATTTTTGAGAAATATTTCAAATTTAAAAAACTTTCATTTTTACGCCACCCCAGGCTACCCCAACAATTGTAATCATTTTTTATGCCACCCCCACCCCCAGCCGCCACCCTCCCACCTAGGCCATCCACGTCAATTTTGTTTTTAAACCCCTACCCCTACCCCTATCCCTCCCCCGCCACCCCCACTCAGGCCATTCCCACCAAAAAATTTTTTTAAGAAAAAGTTATTTTTGGGAAATATTTCAAACTTAAATTTTTTCATTTTTACGTCACTACCCCACCTCGCGCTACCCCCACCCAGGTCACCCATCAATTTTTTTTCTTTAAAAAATATTTTTGAAAAATATTTCAAATTAAAAAAAAATTCATTTTTATGCCACCCCCACTCCTACCGCCCTCCCCCCCGCGACCCCATCAATTTTTTTGTTTTTAAATTGTTTTAATTTTTTTTCGTCGGTTAAGTCCTGGGTCAGATCATAGGGTCGATTTTGGAACGGTGATGGGGTCTTGTCCTAGTTTGGGTGTCGGGGTCGGGTCCTAAATTAATTATCGGGGTTGATTTTGGATCAGAAATTATTTTCTTAAAGAGTGGTTTTAGTCTCAAGTAAAAAATAAAAAATATTTTCTGAATTATTTTTTTTTCATTCACCAACCAAACATTATAAAATATTTTCTACTCACCAACTAAAAATGAAAAAATAAGTTAGAAATTCACTTGTTTTCGAAGAAAACATTTTTGATAGAAACATTTTCGATAGAAACATTTTCCTTCCTACCAAACACACCCTTCATCATCTATAAATAATTATAATCAAACAAATAAACCAAATTGTAGAATAAATAAAAAAAATAACACCCTAAATTGTTTCTTGGGCGGTAGGAGAGTATACCCCCGTTTTTCTGTCCCGAGATATTCAAATTCGATTCTCTCCAGAGTCCTCAAACCCCTAAAAACTCCTCTCTAGGGTTTCCTTCTTACCGATCTCACTACATCTCCACTTTCAGGAGCGCCCAGTAACATCACAATCTTACTCACTTCGATCCGGGTTGACTCACTTCCATGGCGGAAGATTCAGTTCCAGTTCCAGTTCCATCATCCACCAATACGGCGCCGTTGGGTCACTCAGTGATTCCTATAGTGAACAAGCTCCAAGACATCTTCGCACAGCTCGGAAGTCAGTCCACGATTGAGCTGCCTCAGGTAGCTGTCGTCGGTAGTCAGAGTAGTGGAAAATCCAGCGTTCTGGAAGCCCTTGTCGGTCGCGATTTCTTGCCTAGGGGTTCTGATATCTGTACTCGGCGCCCGCTTGTTCTACAGCTTATACAGACCAAGCGTAAGCCAGATGGTACTGATGACGAATGGGGAGAGTTTTTGCACCTTCCAGGGAAGCGATTCTTTGATTTCAATGAAATTCGTAGGGAGATTCAGGTAAATTGCACTTATTCAGTATTTGGTTTCGTAATCTACTTGTAGAAACTCTCAATGAGGATATGTTGGCTGTTTATGTATTGAGCTTTTTTCAATGAAATTTACAGACAGATTCAGGTATAGTGATGAACTGTAGTCTACACCTTCTATAAACTCCCAATTTTCTATATTGAATCTTCAGATATAGGCCATAAGGCTAAATGTTTAAAATATTGTGTTTGAAAATTCAGAGAGAATAAATGGGTTGGTTATTTTCAGTTTTGGGTTATGATTTGATTTTTTGCTTTTGATTTTTATAGATGAATGATCAAATATGCATATTTAGTTATGTTTTCTTTTAGATATTCTAGGATTCAAGTTACCTAATTAGCAGTCCATTTTTTTATATTTTTTTTGTAGAATAAGAGTTCTTATTCTCTAAGACTTCGAGAAAGAAAAAAAAAATTCACGTTAAAGATTTGAACTTGTAAAAACCATCTAATATCATTACCTCAATATATTCATATTCCATTGTCTTTATGTGTTGCTGCACATATATAGTTGTGTATTCAAGAATTGTAGTTTCAACACAGTTATCTTCACTTAGCGCAAACGTTGGTGAAAGATCAAATTGACCTCTAAATTTTAAAAACTTTAACACAATAATACCCATCATTTTAATATTTATTACTCATTAATATTGGATACATATGCAACACTCGTATCAAGAGATTAATACTTAGTAAAAGAGAGTAAAAAAAGTCAAGAATTGATCAAAGCAAAAAAGAGGTATTTTGAATTAGTAAACAATAGATTTAAAGAAAAATTAATGAAAAAGAAAGAGCTTAAGCCAGCCCTCTTCGCAGCAAACAAAAAAGCAAAAAATAGTGGTTCACGTGGATTCCAACCGTGATCACTTGGGTGGCATGCTCCACACTTTGCTACTGGTACATTTTAATCTTTTGTGAGTGCGGGTGGCAAGTGTATTATATATTGTATTTCTTAAACGTATACACATAAATATACAAAGTTTCGACCGAGGCATCAGGTGCCACGGCACCCCCTCCCTTACACATAGATCTGCCCCCGCTTTAACTGCTATGCTAATTCATATATATGTATATATACATACTAGTAAAATTATCCACGCTTCGCGCGGGAATTTGATATCACAGAATTTATAAAATAATACTTAAAACCTATCACTCATTAAAACTAAAACACTATATTGTCTCACATACAAGATTACGTAGTAACGTACATTAATAATCTAAAAGAAATGATAATTATAACATCTTATCATTTATCCTTTAATCAATCATCTTTAATTTGATTTTATAATTTATCTTTTTACCCCCGGGAAGTGTTGGTATTTGATATTTTTGGGAAATTAGATGAACATCAACATGAGATATTAAATTTTCTAATAAATAAATTATCTTTATTTGTACTAACAAATACTTATATACAATAACTTTACAGAAACATAAACAACAAAGTTTAAAACATGTACTCAAAAACAACAATTGATATCATAAGCATAAATTAATGACGGTAAAAAAATATACCAGGATCTATAACAATAGAAACAGAAAAGAAAAATTTGAGTCCACTGAATGCACAGTGTCCCCTTAAGGAAATTATTCCCCTCTAGTACCCGAGGTTTAAAGGAATAGATCCTCTCAGGATGGAACGATTCTATTCACAAGTGTAGTGATACGAAAACAATGATGTCAGTGATCCACTCAACATGAGCAAAATACACGAATATTTAATTGTGCAGAAGAAGAAGAAGTTCAAAATTTTTGTTGTTTTGAAATAAGAGGAAATCCCTCTATTTATAGATTGTTAGAATATGAATAGGTTTATACAATCTTATTAGAATATGAATAGGTTTATACAATCCTAGTAGAATAGGAATAAGTTTATACAATTCTATTTAGAATAGAATAGGAATAGAAATAGGAATAGTAAATAGTATCCTACTTGGTAAATGATTGCATTGTAGTGTCTATAAATAGGGTCTCAATGTAATAATGTAGACATGACAATATTCTTCTCCAATATTTCTCACATGGTATCAGATCCTCTATGATCTTGGTAGAAAATCAAAGAGTTTCCGCTGCCGGCGGGTGGCTATTACCCATATATGCCGCCCATTTGGCCAATGATTATGTTAATAAAAGTAGGACAAATGATACATGCATGAACCCCATGTTCAAGGGAAGAAGCTCAGTCAGACAGGTCACCATGCATCAATTTTAGAGCTGTTTTGTGTCAACCCCATATTCGTTGGTATTGGTGTAGCACGTTCCATCTTTCTGGTGACTACTTTTTCATTTATAATTTATGTAGCACCGTGCCATCATTCCGGTGACTACTTTCTTATATCTAATTTGTGTAGCACCGTGCCATCATTCCGGTGACTACTTTTTTATATTTAATTTTTGTAGCACCGTGCCATCATTCCGGTGACTACTTTTTCATATATAATTTGTGTAGCACCATGCCATCCTTTTGGTGACTACCTTTTTTTTGCATATCTGATTTGCGTAGCACCGTGCATCTCTCTGTACTACTTTTCATATTTAATTTGTGTTGTACCGTGGATTTTTTCGAACTATTTTCTCATAACTAAGTTGCATAGCATCATGTGTCTTTTCAATGACTCCTCAGATTTGATTTGCATAGTTCCATTCGTCTTTTCGGTGACTCCTCAAATCTGATTTGCATAGGGTTGTGCCATCATTCCAACCCTATCCGTACAATTTTTCTTTTTCAGTAGGGTCGTGCCATTATTTCGAGCCTACCCATATTATTTCTCTTTTTCAATGGGGTCGTTCCATCAATTCGAACTATCTTATATAATTTCTATTTTCTAGTTGGGTCGTGACATCATTCCGACCCTACCCATATAATTTTATTTCTTAGATTGTGACCACTTTTAGCCATCAAATCTAATACTCCGACAGATGAGCATGTTTCGGCCAGTTTTTGGGTGACTTGTTTAATATCGACTAATCTATTGATTCCAACATGATCCATACTTTATACCAGATTTTGAGCACTTTGTTGCTCAGGGGGAGTTTAGTAGCCTTGTATGTCGATTATGTGAGTCAGTCTTTGCAAGTTTGGTTTGGGAAGTTCAACACTGGAATTTTATCACTCTGTGTTTTATTGACATTATGCATCAAATTCAGTATTTCATGAGAAGATTAAGCACATTGAGATTGACTGACATTATGCATCAAATCCAGTATTTAATGAGAAGACAAGCACATTGATATTGACTGACATTATACATCAAATCCCATATTTAATGAGAAGACAAGCACATTGAGATTGACTGTCAATTTTGTGAAGTCGACTGATCAACTTGCAGATATCTCACTAAGCTCCTCATCGGTCTTCGTGTTAATTACATTTGTAACAAGCTAGGTACATGAATTGTATGCACTAGCTTGAGGGAGAGTGTTAGAATATGAATAGGTTTATACAATCCTACTAGAATAAGAATAAGTTTATACAATCCTAGTAGAATAGGAATAGGTTTATACAATCCTATTTAGAATAGAATAGGAATAGAAATAGGAATAGTAAATAGTATCCTACTTGGTAAAGAATTGTATTGTAGTGTCTATAAATAGGGTCTCAATGTAATAATGTAGACAGGACAATAATTGAATAATATTCTTCTCCAAAATTTCTCACATAGACAACAAATGGTAGTGTGAACAAATGCTTATTGTGCCTTATCAGAAATGTCACAACTCTTTGGAAAAGTTACAACCCTTTGGAAAGGTCACAACCTTTCATAAAAGTTACAATTTTTCATAAAAGTCGCAACTCTTCATAAAAGTTGCAACTTTTCATAAAAGTCACATCTTTTCATGAAAAGGGAAGACTATTTTTGGAAATAAATAAATTTAAAAGGAAATTCTAGCTTGTGGTGGCGCCACGTAGGTGGGCCTAGGGTTCTCTTATTTATATATTAGAGTTAATGGCTAACTCCCTAAACTATCAAGTTTTGGATCCTATAACTTTCCAGGGTTAAAACCCCATGGCTTGACAGTGCTTGTTAATTGTCACTTAGAGTATGGGGGTAAAATAAGTCATCCATGTGGGGTGGCTTTTATAATGGCTGAAAACCTCTTAAATTATCATTGTTTTGCAAGTTTCTACTTAAATTATCAGTTTTTTCGGTATCCTTGAACTATGATTTTTGAAGATTGAATGGCTCATAGGAGGTGAGAAGTGATGTCATGTTGGATTTATTTATGGCTAATTAGGCCTCAAATAAATAATTTTTCAGTTTTTTTTCTCATCTTTATTTCCTTTATATTCTTTAGTTTTTCTTCCGTCTTCTTCATTTCCTTCTAAGACCAAATTGATCTAGGTTTTGTATTCGGGTTTCATTTGAAATTATCTATTCTTCCATTTTTTTTCTTGATATTATTGAAAGAACACCTTCCTCAACACCCTTTTCTTGATTTCATTTGATCTTCTTTGAAAGTCGAACACTTTCTTAAGGATGAAAAATGAATATTTATGTAGTTGTGGGCAGACGTCATCAAATCCATATGGACACTAATTTTTGTAAGAACAAACTCAAACACATATCAGCCCCAAGTTTTTGACGACCCTTAATTTCAATTGAAAAAGAGACAATATTACAAAGAACCTGTGCAGTTAGTTGAGGTGCGCGTAAGCTGTCTCGAACACCACAATTATAAAATAAAAATATATAAAAGAATTGGTGTTCTTTAACCTTTATGGCAAAACCAACAATTGATCCCTTTCCGTTTTTCATTTTTAGTTCTTTTTTTTTTTTGAGAAAGTTAACTGGTATTTTATAAACAAAAGGAGTACACCAAATAGTGTGCTCCTACATAGTTACATCAAAAGTATGAAAGGACAACCCAAACAAAATCTATCTCCTATATTCCTTATAAACTGTCTAGAAATAGGTTAATTTCCCCTATATCCTTAGGTACATAATGTATACACCAAAAGTAAAATGT